GTTTTGTATCGAATTTTGCTAAGCCTAATTTTATAACAAAAATCAGAGAAATGTTTAAAATGAAAACGAGTGTGGTAAATCTCGAAGCACAGAGAAGTATCACTTTGTAACTCTTAGAAAAAGTATCACTTTTTAACTCTTTAGAAAATGAATCAGTACTCTAATTTGCGTTAGTAAATGGTTCACTAACCATACCAAGGTATTCTTCCTCTGATAAATAGCGCCTTCCCGCCATAATAGACTGGAGGTCATGCTTTCCTAAATAAAAAAAGGAAGGAACGGAAATATATCTGAAGTCAATGCAAAACGTAAAAAAACTCCGCACAGTAACCCTAAAAGACCGTACATAGTAGAGGAAAAAAATAGAATAAAAAAAGTAATTGGATATAAATCAGATTCGAGAATGTTTTCATTAGCACGCAGTGATTTAAAGAGCCCACCTCTGTTTATGCTTTCCCTCCGGTCCCCCCCCTCGAACAGCTGATGAGTAAAATACCAAAGTCAAGCAGAATATATCAAACTCAAGGTCAGGAACCTAAAACTGTGTTCATTTCAAAAGTAACGGACACAGGATGCCATCTAGTGGCCTTCAGAAAAATGTTCCACCTTCAAATGCGTATACGCATCAGCCGTCCTCTGAATGTGATCTTTACTGATGCGTGGATGGGATGCCGGCTGTAAGAGACGTTCTTAGGGGATTTGTATATGGGACGCCCGTCCTGAAAGGGTTAAGGTGAAGTCTGGGGCACTTTCATGAGAAAAGCATGTTCTGCTTTTCGGCCACATTGTTGCTATTAGTCCAAGCTTATTGTTTTACGATGGTACTTCTACATGCTACTATAAGCCGGTGATCTTTTAATAAGGGCAAACTCCATTAGATAATTCTGTGCAGCTTCAGCTGATTAAATTTATTTAGCATTAGTTCAGTTTTATATTTTCTATTTTGAGTTAAGGCCCAAGTGAAGGCTTAATGTATGCCCCAGAGGGGCTATCTGTTAATCTATTTTGAGTTGGAATAAAGGGTAAATTAACTTTTTTTTTTTTACTTGTTACTTACACGAACTCAGTGAATAGTCGCTACACGGTTCTTCAGTAAGCTAGTTTACAAGTAACTCTAGTTTAGATGGGAAAAAAAGTTATTACTAGTTATTCAAAATGTATTACAAGTTCAAAAAAGAATTATGACAGAACAAGAAAAAAATGACTCCCTCACTCCTCTGAATGTATTCAAAACAAAGGCTTCTAGAGTGAATAAATAAGCTTCATGTTTTCTTTTGCACTTAAAATCACAGTAAGTACATAAATTTGAAAAATGTGAGGATCTCATAATGCACTGCAAAATTTGCTTCCAACTGTTTTCAAGCCTGATAATGTATACTCTAAAGACTTTCCTTAAATTCCATTCCATTTGCAAAATGGCTCAAACTGTTACTGATTTGGCAAGCCTGAAGATATTATACTCTAAAGACTTTCCTTAAATTCCATTCCATTTTGAATCTGGAATATATTATTGTGTTCATATCAATAAATTTATAAAACTAGAAACTAAAATTAAAATAGAGCTTTGAAATTTACCATGCAATTATAACATACACTGTGGTCATCAAAATTAAAGGATAATGAGAAAAAATATTCTCACTCAGTTAATGTTGCAACCAACACACAAGTCTGTAATTATTTATATTAATGAACTACAACTGAACACAAATTTGTACCTCCATGCATACATCAGTGCCAGAAATATGAAAGTTTGGTGACTGACAATGTTGTGCGCAATGGATGCCTGTTGGAATTCTGGTTTGAATTATTGTCTAAAGTGAATGTGGTGTATGAGAGTAAGCAGTATTCAGTAGTTATGGCTCAAAGGCATCTTTTAAATGAAGGTTAAAAGTGGCAAGTAATTGGTAAAGGGAGGTTGGAACGGAGGTTGCCCAAGATCTGAACATTCCTCAAAGTGGTCAACAACATATCATATCAAGATTTTTGAGCCATTTTTTAAGCACTGGATCAGATGACAGACAACCTGGTCAAGGGCGACCAAAAGCACCAAAAGACTATTTTCTGTCCTTGTCAGCTCGAAGCAACCATGAAGCGACTACAAGAGATTTGGTTTTAAACCTTCAGGTTGCCACAGGAATGCGAATTAACCATTCTACTGCTACATGAAGGCTTAACGAGGTTAGCCTGTATGCAAGAAAACCAATACTTTGTGTCCCACTCACTCTAGCTTCCAGAGGGGCCGATTAAAACTGGTGCCGGCATCATATTCGAAAGAGCCAAGATGACTGGGTGCGAGTATTGTTTACTGACGAATCCAGATATAGTCTGAACAATGATTCTAGATTTGTTTTGATATGGAGTGATTAAAGAACAAATCAACAAATGGCTGCATGCATTGAAGGAGGTTCTGTAACCACTTGGAGATATATGGATGTGGTATTGGAATCCCAAGTTAGAATGTTTAGGGGTGATGTTGGTCTAGAGATTTTGTTAATGGATGCTCGGCCTCACCGAGCACATGGGGTGTCAAAATACTGCAAACAGAATATATTACTTGAATGAATTGGCCACCTTATTCGAACCTGATTGAACATGTATGGGATGCCAAATTTCAGCACACCAAATTCTTTTCCATACCCTCCAGGAGCTGAAAAGTGCACTTTTAGACGAGTGGCATGCAGTTCCACAAGACTTAATCAGCACAAGTCTATGAAATCAAGATGCAAGGTATGCATATCTATCCAAGGCGACCATACACCATATTAAAGAAAAAAATTTTCCACAAGAGGTGACTTAATCTTTCTATTATTCTCCAGTTTCCATAAATTTGGCTTTAATGTCAATATTTTGCAAATAACCAACTGCCAAACATTGTAATTTATGTTAATTAATGCTTTTGTACAAATTTCTATTAATTTTTTTATTAAATGTCATTAATGTATTATTTCTGTCATTATCTTTTAATTTTGATGACCAGTGTACCTAGCATACCATTTTAAATATATGCCAAGCTAAATACAGACTAGACTGTAATTACAAGTGGAAATTCACTAATAATGCATTAACAAAGCCTATTCGAAATGACCATGAAACATATTACTACAAGACACCACTGCCAGTTTTCAAGCCATGATAACAAAAATTTATCCAATTCTCTCATTATTTTTTTTAACTGATAATAATTGATTACAATGGCAAAGCTTTTTTTGTAATATCATATTTCTTGATTATCTAAATTATGGGGGCTATTTTTTAAGCAAAGTCCATTCCCCACCCAAAATTTCGCATGTGCAAGCTCCTGGCATTTTTTGTGCACGGTACACTACTGCTTGCATTGCCAACATCAGTTTATGTGCTTCATAGTAAAAAATTAAATCATTGGTTAAAATCAAGTGCCCCAGCAACTGAGAAATATGGTCAGTCACCCAATTCTTAACAGCAGAAACATGAATATTACACATTCACTGTCAGGTATGTAAAATGTACAATGGCAATGCACTGAGCGATAGTAAAGAGTGAAAATAGGCGAGATTTTTCATGAAAAACTGCGAAAACATCTGTGACAAATCACTCTCTGGTCAGCAACAGTCGGTGCTTTCGATTTGGTGCCTAGTCGAGAGCCGAAATCATACATACAGGAAATTACAGTAAATGGCAAATAGAAATGAGAATCACTGACGGTGAAATGAAAATGGCTGCGTGCATCTCCCGGAGGAGATCACTATCGTGCATCTCACAGAATACCGTCACATGGGCAATGGAACTCTGTGCAGAGCTGGATTATCAATTAAATAAAATAAACATGTGCTTATAGCATCAAGGAAAAGAGGCACTACAAAACAGTTCTTAGGGATACAGGAAAGGAGGACACCATAAAAATTTCCCATTTCTAGCTTTACCAAGGAATACATGATACAACTAAATCAAAACCAAGTGAAAAGAAATGAGGAAAAAAACTGCCATAAATATAAATAAAAGCTCATTTTTTTTTTTTTTTTTTTTTTTTTTAATGTTAAGGGCCTCTACAAATCTTAACTAGCCTCGATTTTGCAAGGAAGAAACATAAATAATTTTGTTTGTTATAACAAAGGCTTAAAGCGCTGAGGAAATTTAGTTAAAAAAAAATTGCATGTAAATTAAAAAAATAAATGTTTTTTTGAAAATTTTTATTCATTTAGTTTTTATGGTGAAATGGACTTTACTTCAAAAGATAGCCCTGACATTAGTGCAATTTTTTAAATGCATTCTTAATGCTTTCACGAAGCTTTAAATTTTTTATGATGATGGGGCTTAATCAAAACATAAATAATGAAAGGAAATAATGATGACTTATTGCAGTGAATTAACTACACTTTTTGCAACTCATTGTTAAAATGTAAATTATTGATGTAATTATATGCATACATTATTTCACACATATTTCACTTTTTAATTTTTTATTTATCTCAAAACTCAATCAATAAACTTAGTTAAATTTTTTTAATGCTCTGTCTGTGTTTTAAGAATAGATTTAAAAGACAGTTGCTCCTTTTAGCAATTTAGTGCAAATGCATTCCTGCAGAAATTTTAACAAAATTTTTCCACTGCATGCAAATTCCACAAGAGTATATTTTAAAATTGATTATAAGACAAAAAGTACCAATATTTATATAAAAAAAAAAAGGCACCGGAACTTGGGATTCAAACGGAATACATACAAAAATGGCATCACTGCTTGTTAAATTAGAAGAACTGCCATGCGCATCATGTCTAGAGTTTGTCAGATTCAGAAAATTATAATGGCTTCTATAATGTGGCTGCACTAATGCAGAAATATCCTAATGGAAATAGGTTCATTGAAAACTTATAACACAAGACTGCCAACATGTTACAGTTTTTTTGAACTAATCATAAGATTCTTCAATTGAACCTTTTGAAATACTTGCTTTGTGAAAGTAATGCAAGTTTTTAGTTAAAAAAAAAAAATAGTTGATAATGATAGAAAAGTAGTTGATACTTACTATACTGGTCTGACTCTTTATCAGCTGGATGGTTGTCATTTTCTCCCTCCATTTGTTCTAGAGGAACATCTACAGTAGTGGGAATCAGAGAGAGCTCAGGACTGTTTTTAGAAGGTGAACTAGAAATATCTTCTGTAGGTTGTACATGTGCAGTAGGTTCAGCAACTTTTACTTCTGTTCCAGAATTAATACCTGTATTAGGCTTTACATTTTCTTCATGAACTTTTTCAGACATAGCACCGCCAGGAAGCTTTGTTTCTTTATCAGCAGCTGTACCAGAAGTATTTCCTGCTATGATTATTTTCTTTCCATCATTTCCAGAATCTTTTGTAGAATTACCCAATACTGCATTTTTTGTAGAATCACCCACATCAGGATCAGACTCAGAAGTTTTAGGATCTAGAGGTAAAGGTTTCAGCTCATTAGAAGTTTTCACTTTTATATTTTTATTATGCTCATATTGTTTACTCTGTCCAGTAATGACAAATTTTGCAAAATTTCCTCCATTCTGATCATTTGCATCTGGTTTATTTTTTTTATTATTAAGACTTTCAGAAATTTTATCCATAACTGGAACTTGATCTTCAATATTGGTACCAGTATTTGGGGTTTGAGATAAGATATCCCCATGTAAATCATTCTCTCCTAACCCTGAGATGGAAGCTGCAGCCTGTGTACTTCGAACTTGATTCGAAGAGTCATTCTGTGACAATTCTTTTAACTTCATTTGGTCCATTTCATCCACTGAAAGTGCTTTTTCGTTTATGGGAGGATTCCCTTGATCACCTTTTTTATGATCATCTTCAGCTTGTTGAAGTGCATCCGGGATTTTATCGACATTTTCTGCAACATCATTTGACTTCGGTGAGTTTTTAATATCTTCCACAGAACTGTTTACTTTCAAGGCATTAACATCAGAATGATTTTGTGGGGCAAATTTGGCTTTAAAAAGAAAGTAATTAGAAACAAATTAATATTTACAATCAATAAAGAAGAATTCCAACACATTCTTTAAGAAATACACATTTAAAAAATTTATTTCAGATATTAAATGCAACTGCAATTTTCTTATGCTTTTATACTGTGAAAATTCTCAGTTGGGAAAAACTTGAAACTACCTTTAAATTTGACGAAAATAAAATTATTTTCATCGCACATTTTTCATGTTTTCTGTTTTGAAATGACTCTACATATTGAGATAAAACAAAATCAAATGCAAATATGCCACGATTAAATATCTGGTTGATTATTCATATCAAGTTTCACAAATGTCAACGATATGATTAAGACAACTGAGATTAGATAAAATTTAATATGAAAAAATAAGCTGAATATCACTAAGTATGGGGGAATGACATTTGCATAATTTCAGCTTCATTATTTCAATAATGAAGTTTAAGCTGTGCAGATTTTATCAGCAACCTTTAACTTCAATGCAGCCGGTCAAAAAAACAGAAGCAAATGTAGTGAAATCTACACTTTCTGCAGTAGATATGCATTTTTCTGTGCCTGATGATTCCGGATTATGCTGAAGTCCATTATTACTGTTATCCCACGTTCAAGTCTTAATAGAAAATGGTCTTGGATAACCTAGTTTCGATTTTCAGTTTCCCAAAAGACAAAAATGGACGTAAATGTTTTCAGATGTATTTTGTCGAATCTCTCCACACAACAAAAGAGTTAAAAGGTTGCTAAATTCTGCTGAAAAAAATTCTGTTTATTGTTTTTGTTGCAAAATTTTTAACAGCTTCAGCAATGCAAAACTCTGTAGTTCTGAATCTAACGAATGGAATCACTTAAATAAGTATACTTAAAACTTCATGAAAAAAATAAAATACATTTCCAGAACGTCCGATTTTTTAGAATGATTAAGAAAGAATAAACCTGTTGATTCGGAATTTAAAAATTTATTAACAGAGACTAACTGGCGTGATATTATTGAAAGAATTATTTATACCATTCAGTTTTTAGCCAAACAAAACTTACGTCTTTCGTGGTTCCAGTAACAAGTTATGTGAAAGAAATAAGAATTTTTTAAAGTATATAGAAATGATTGCAAAATTTGACCCTACCATGTCTGTATATATTAATAACATTCAAACTAGAAGAAGGGAAAAAAAAAAAAAAACTTCATTACCTTAAATATAAAATTCAAAAGGAAACAAATAGCTTATTAGGGGAAAATATAAAACAAATTATTTTTTTAAGTAAGGTCAAATAGGCAAAGTATTTTTCTATTTTACTTGATTGTACCCCTGATGCCAGCCATCAAAGAGCAGATATTAGTTTGTATGAAGTATCTTAATTTAGAAAATACAGACATGAGTATTGAAGAGAGGTTTCACAACTGATACAACCGGTGAAGAACAAAGAACATTCTTATTAAAGAATTTTAGAGGAAAATGGTTTAGACATTAGTAATTTAAGCGGCCAAAATAACGACAATGGTTCAAACATGAGAGGTAAACAGCTGAAATCGTTGCTTTTCCAAATTAAAAAGTTAACCTAAGTTTAACATAATATGCAACGACCTTTTTTATGTAGAAAAACAATAACAACAAGCAATCACAGAAAAAGATAAATGTTGCACAAATTACTACTATTGCAAAAGTAGACACAAAATAAGGGATTAAGCAATTTGTCGAATGTGTCTACCCTTACATTCGCATCGGCATCACGTATTTTTATGCTTAGAACAAACGTTAGAGACGAACTCCTGCCCTGGTTATAACTTTCAGTCACATAAGACAGTGTGCTAGGAGGAAAGGCACTCAGACCTGGCAGTCTCGAGGCTGCCTTAACACAGTTAAATGTCCCAACCCCTTAAGGCAATCCAAGAAGCCTATAACCTATCAGTCGAGCCGAGGGGCTAAGATTGAGTAGACAGGAATACTCAGCAACTCGCATTCCATGTTCCCGTTCTGGAGGGATGGTAAAAACATCTGCCATCAACAGGGTCCCCCAACCCTGGACAGCAGAACACACTTAAACACTCTCAGACACACCGGGCCACCTCCGTCGACAGGGATGTTCTGGCCTGGACAACCATGAATATCTGAGTATATAGCTCCACCACAACCAACGGAATGACAAGACAGTACCATACAGTATCTGCCGAGCCTGAAGCAGCCATCGCTAGCGAAGACTCCAGTCCTGTGGAGACTGATTTTGAACATCCGTGGCCAAGACTGCCTAGGTACAGTTCCTAATCAGTAGCTTCCCAGGTCTTACCCGAGTCGACCTCCAGAGGCGCGTTCAAATAAGAAAATAATTATTCTGTTCAGACAGGCAGTGAGACTAACTGCTTGTTTTAATGATTGCCCGGTGCCTTTTTGACTTGCACCTTGCACAACCTTGCACCTATTGTCGGCGCGAGCCTGCATGGGACTGTGAATTTGGCTTGGAGGAAATCATGGCCAGACTGAATTGCACATAGATACTTTGATGCTTAAGTCTTGTTATCTATGTTGCTAAGACTCCACACAAAACTATGGATTAGGAACATAACAATACAGTAAAAAAAGTAGAAGTAAAAAAAAAAAAAATAATAATAATCACAAAAATGGCTCAACATGAAAGGGATGTTTCCTGAAAAGAATAAAAGAAAATGACCCACTTCCCTGATCTGTAAAATTTCAAAAACAATTGCATTTCTCTCTTTAGAAATATTTTAAAAAATAGGCAACAACAAAGCACATTGGATGAATTTTGAGTCCAGTTACCTGTTTTCTGGAGAGGAATTCTGCATCCAAGCAATAACATCTCCCTAATAATTTTTCTCATATACCATGCACTCTCCTTTATACAGATATAAAGATTAATCCAAGTTTTTGTCTATTTTATAAGCTCAAAAGGTTTATCTGTCTCAAAATGCAAGTCTGCGTCATTTCATTTTAATGTATTTTTCCACTTTTAAATCGAGTTCTTGTCATTCGGGAAAATGCAAGATAGTATTCCTTCATTTTTATTTCACATTAAGTAATGTGCTTGTTATTAACTGGCAAACTAAACAACTGAAAAGCAAGAAATGCAGTTCTTAAAATATATATATATTTCAAATCTAATAAATTTAAATAAAAATGGGTTTGATTCATGATACATATAATTAAAAACACTTTTGCATTTTTTAAATATGCACAGAATATATAGTATTCCCATGTTAGTCTAAAAGCTACTTATGTATTATCCCGTCGACTGCGAAAGTTGGCTACCACCGAACCATGAAAGCTGGCGGAGATTCCGCCAGATTTGAGCCAATCTTTTCTGCAGAGTTCTGAAGAAACGATATCTCTTTATTTAAAAACATCAGAACTTAACCATCTTCATTTTGGGGTTCCGTACAGAAGCTTTTGTTGATTTCTACCATTTTGTTAAGTAAAAGTTAGATAACAGATGGCTTATTAAAAATCATTCGGAGTTACCAGAGCCAGATTTAAACTTGATAATGTCCTAGCCTATTTGAGATATGGGGCCCTTTATAAGTAAGTCTGTTATAATATATTTTAATACTACTTATATTTTAATTTTTTGGGGGCCCCAAGCTATAGCTTATGTAGCTTATACATAAATCCGTAGTTATGTATAAGCTGGGAATTACATCAAACAAAAGCACAGATGTTGTGAGTGTGCTGTTACGTTACGGCTCTCCATGACTGGTGCTAAATCATGCTACTTGGCAAGAGTTTCGTAATCAACGGAATAATACATAAATACCGTCAAAATATCTATTGATAACCATATTAAACTTCAAAACAGCTCTTTTGGGTCGTTGTTAGAAAATGAACATTTTCAGATTTTTTGTAATGTTATTTTAACTTTTAGCGTATATAGTGGTAGGTTTTGGAATTGACTACAATTAAGCTTGTGATTTGATGCGAAATTCCATGTATCATTCTCGTGGCATTTTAGTTTGCTTTCTTGAAATATTTAATTTTAACATCTTTTTTCAATATGATTTTATATTTAAGGATTTTCATTGTTTTGAGTTATTAACTTATCCACAAAGTACAGTTATACAGCTTAAATAAGTATTCCGCTGCGGTCCAGAAATAAATTAATCCATTTTGTATTTAATTGCAATAGGGAAAATTACTTCCATTTACAAACATTTCAGTCGATGAATGACCTTTGGGAATGAATTTCATTTGTGAACCGAAATTTCACCATGTATAAGATTAATGCCAAATTTGTTATATCACTGGCAACAATTTCTAACAATTACAGGTAAGGTTAAAGCATCAAATAGTGGGGTTCCCCATGAGCTCACAGAATGGTGACAGGCATGGCATCGGGAAAGTGATGTTAGTGCAACTTTTCTGTACGAGATCTTTACGGCTGATGAAGCACAGATGCTTTAAAACAGCAAAAAGCAAACAGTGACTCAATAAACGGAAGCCATAAAAAATTGTCCAAATTTGACTTCCATCTGCAGAAGTTTGATTTTTGCATGGTGGACTGCCACGAATGTGGTACAATATGAGCTTTCAAGGCACATGCTCAAAAAGTCCTAACCAAGTATGTAAAGTAATTGACCAACTAATTGAATATCTCCAGAAATTATGGAACAAATTTTTAGGAACACTTCTTGATGGAAAAATGGTTCACCAGCCAGGATGCTGTGATTCCTGCCCTGAACAACTTCCTGAACCATACAAATGAGCCATAAACCAGCTTTACACTGAGACCTTTCTGCACTAAAAACATGCTGGGTAAAAAATGCTGCCAAAAGCATATTTTTCATATTTCATTGCATATGTCATGCCTTTATCTGTCACTGCCTTTTTACCTCCTTGTATGAAGTAAAGGAAAGTTGTAATGGTGAACAATTTCAGTTACCAGATATCTACGGAAATAAAGATTTCAAATTTTTTAGTACATATGGAGAGAATAAAGAACTTTTTATTCCAACAGGGTTCGTACACATTTCCTTACATGAAAATTAAGGACTTTTAAGGACCATCAAAGAAAAAATTAAGGACCTATCAGCAAACAAAAAAATAAATAGAATAAAGCAATTATCCATACAACCGACTTCATGCTTGTAATTTCACTTTAAGAAACTAACAGAAGTGTGTATTATGCACTATTATTAAATTCAATTTAATACTTACCATAAAATAATTTTGAAAATTAAACTAACTCCCTACAAGTTATGAAGTAGATAACATGAAATTAGGAACATAATTTCTTGAAAAACATGTATAAGTGTATTTTACACTAATAACAGTCACTATTTTAGAGATTTACATGATTATTATTTAACTTATTTGATATTTATTTAAACACAGTCAACTACTATTATAATCACAATGTAAGAATATTTTTCAGATTAAAATAATTGATTTGTAAACATACAATTTATTTCCTTGGTTTTTTGAAAGATACTAGAATAATAAACTGTACAATAAAAGATACAAAACATTTGTGCTTTTTTTAAATCTGAAATCTTTTCAGCTATTTTAACATCTAATTTATTTATGTCTATTTCCTTTTCTTTAACTATTCTTTTAAGTTCATTTGCTTTGACAAACAAATCAATGTTCCTGCTGGTTTCAGCTTCATCTGCTAAAGCATCTACTTCTTCATTAATATCCTTAATGCCCGTTTGAAGAAATTTTTTCTTCTGCTTCATATAATCAATTTCTTCTTCAATAATATTTTTTTCCTCTTTGAATTTTCAGATTTAGTTAAAGATTTTTGTTCTTCTAAATACTGAACTTCTAAATAAAGAACTCCACTTCTTGCAGAAGCTGCTGCTGATCTCATTTCTTTATTAATTTCGATATTAAGAACACCTCCAGAAAATTTTATGTAATCAAATACTATGCGTTGAAAAATGTATGATGAGTCACTTAAATTTTCAATTGCTTTATTTACAGAGAAGCCCCTTTCCACAGAGGCCTGTTCATGTGACAAGATAAGAATACTTGTCACAGTGAATACTTGAATAGTGAAAATATACATTTTTTACTATATATATATATATATATATAATTTATTTCCTAAACAATATTGATTAATTGATTATATTATCTCCTAAGTTTAATTAAAGTAGAATTATTTTAAAAGAGTGAATCCATACTGGTAAGTTATATTTTGAAAGATGTATATATATATATATACAGTACAAAGTCCGAGATCCGGACATCCAATATCTGGAATGATCTAAAATCCGGACCTCAAAGCCACCACCAACCAATTTTTTAGGGCTTTTTTGAAGGGAAGGGGTATGCTTTACGCACGCGCATTAGATTTTTTTCCTCATCATAAAAAAACATGCCGGAAATCCCGATTCTTAATCTCAGTTTGGCGCTAAATAAAATATCTCATTATTGAAGAAATAATTATTTTAGCATAAATTTGTGTGATTAGTAACTTGACTCCATAGCTGCGTATCTGCTTGGCATAATCTCAAACCGAAACATTTGTTAATTTTACACCAACTAATATTTTATATCCTTGATGCCGAAATCGCGAATCATTATTTATTGTATTTTGCTTTCATCACCGCATGTTTATCAACGGATGACAACTTGAGTGATGAATCATGCAGCGACGCCAAATAACAGAGTATTATCCGATTACAGATTTAAGTTTAATGCGCTAAAATGTTGACAAGGGGAGATTTAGCAGAAATTTCTTTCCTTATGCTAAAAATAGATTTTGTTAATGATACTCATAGGACAAACGATTATATTTAGTGCTATTTGAATTAAGAATAACTGATTTGTTATTCACATAAAGCCAGAACCAGCGCCAGAGCTCGCATGGCCGCACCACCAGGCGGCAGAATTTAGCGAAGTTAAACAGAAGTTTTTCATTGCGATGACAATGCCCAATCATCAATCAATTAACGGAGGGCGAAATCTGTAGTATGGTTCTAAATCCAGAAAATACAGCTACCGATAGTGAAGAAGAAAGTAACAGAGAGGTTACTGAACGAGAAAAAATTTTGATTGACAAGTTATTCGGAATTCTCGACACAGCAATTACAGGACTTGAACAATGGAACTTAATAACTGAACAAGAAATTATATGTCTATAGTATTAGTCTAAAGTATTAGCAGAGAAAACAAATCAAACAACTCACATTGAAAGAAATGTTTAATAAAGTAAACATATAAATATTAAGCTCTTTTCTTTTGTAAATTTTGATACCCTTTAAATCATAAATGCTTCATTATTTCATAAATCACGATTTCATATTTTCAATTTTATAATTTCTACGTGCCATCTTAGTAGATTTAAAATGATCTAATATCCGGAAAAATCTCAAATCTGGGATCGCCGAAGTCCCGACGAGTCCAGACCTCGGACTTTGTACTGTATAAATATATATATATAATACGGAATGTATATTTTCAGTTAAACTTCTACCCAATAACTTTAGTAATTCATGAAAGTTAATTTTGCGTCTAGTTAATTCAGGAAAATTAGTTTCAATTAGTTGTTTTCAGCTTTAAAAATATTAAAAAATTTTTAATTAGTTAGTTATTTTCAACTAATAATTGTATCGCCATTAGCAAAAATTATGCATTACTATCAACAACATAGGTTTAAACCAAATACTTAATTACTATTGAAGCTTCAAATTAATTGTCTATTGAAGCTTCAAAACGTATTTCCGAACTTCACTTTTTCTCGGCTAGCGCCCTTGGCGACCTAAAATCGAAATGGAGCCAACAGATTTCCCACGAAATCGATAACAGACCCTCTGCAGAAATAAACTCATAATCCAGATATCCCATACATATAGTATGTGCAAAAGAGAATAAACTCCGTAGAAGGTGATAAAAAATTAATTTATGGCTTAATTGAAACAAACACTGAAATTAAGCTAAGCAAAACCGTGTAAAAAACAAATTGAAATGATAAAACGAAACTTAATTTTCATGTGAATTTTCAGCGCTGACTCTCCCATTCTAGAAATTTCAATTTGTTTCAGACAAAGACCACATTTAAGGATTGCCATCCATCAATATCCAGTCTTTGTAGTCAGCTTGATGAAGCCACAGTTTATTGAAAATGCACTTTCCAGGCATCTCGTTCCTATTGGCGTCGGAAGGGTTGTGGCCTTCCAGGTTGGGATTGCTCTAATTTTGGCAAATATTTTCAGAATCCCCCCCTTTTTTTTCTTTCGAGCACCTTCATCATCACTTTCGCCTCTTAAAGAACTTCCGGCTTCACGCTTTCGTCACAATCTGCCTAAATTTATGGATAACACCTGTTTCGAAAGATTGGGTGAATAGCCAATCAGACACCGATACTTTCGTTCGGGTAGCTAATTGTTTTTTTTTTTTTTTTTTATCGTTTGCAACGCAAATCCGCCAACAGATTGGTTAAGAGCCGTGTAATTTTAATTCCATATTCATGAGAAATCGTAATTCACACTTAGAATGGCAATCATTAGAAATGATAAGAAATGTCAAATGAGCAAAATTAAGGACCGTTTATTCATTTTGGCCAAAATTAAGGACTTTTAAGGACCATACGAACCCTGTAAAAATTAATTTAGTTAATTTTTAAAGCAATTATCAAAATAATTTTTTAAAAACATAGTTGCTAATCCGATAAAGCTCAGTCAAACTTAAGTTTTTTTGTGAAAATCAGCAAATATAAAAGAAAAATGAAGTTAAAAAACAAAATAAAATATTCTAGGTTAACATGCTAAAACATATGCTATTTCTTAAACAGTGATTAGTAGAACTATCAATAAATATATATTCAACCTTAAAAATTGGACTGCCTCATGAATTGAAAAGGTTTCCTTGTTTAGAAAAAATTTTCAGAAAGTAAACGTAATTCATATCTCCTCGATTTTTCCCACTTCTCTTTATTAAATCTTCTGTTGCGCTAACTAAAATGGCAAATTTTGAATAAAAAGTTCATTTGTTCAAATATAATATTTTCAAGATTAAATGTTACATAACATATTAAACAAGTTCCAATCACATGTTTCATCACTATGATACTCTTCACGTCACAACAGCTGTTCAACATGACAAAAATTATGTAAAATGTTTTTACTTACAGGGTTTTCCAGAGTCAAGGGTAGCTGTTTTGTTTTTGTCAGATGTCTGCAAGTCTTCACCTATAAAAAAAGATCCATACATAAGTTAAAACACAGAATACAGATTAGATAACAAGACACATCTCTACATTTATCACGAAACTTATTCTTCATAATTAACAAAATTATATGATCACCATTTAATGTACTTAAACTGAAGCTAAAACAGCTATTTCTGAATATTTTTAGCTACGCAGAAAGAAGAAAATATGGCACTTGTCTTCTGTAGTGGCACTAGCAAAAATGTTGATTTGGATGTTGCCGTTTTAGCGAGAAAAAAAAATTTACCTCCTCATGAGCGAGAAACAGTTAACGATCAGGTTTTTCATAACTGGATTGTGTCAATACAGCAGTTTTTCAATGTAAAATACTCATTGTGCTTACTGTTTTCAATCTTCCATAAATAGAAAAAAGAAGTTATAATTGATGTTTGGGGCATTATGACCAGCAACTGCTCAACTGTGGCCATCAAAAAGTGTCTGTAAATAATTATTTGGTATGTTTCTATGCCTTCTCTTTAATAAATTGCTAATAAAACTGTATTAAATAAAAGCATAAACAAAATTTTTAGGCATGTTCCCATATGTTACTTTAAACAAATTCTTTATATCATCATATTAAATCGTTATAAATAAGCTCTCATGAATTAGATTATTTTAAATGCAATGTTGACAAAATTGTACAAAATACTATAATAAGTACAAATTTATTCCACAATTTACAAAAATACTATAATAAATACAAAAAATTCCTTCTATATGCATGTATTAAGTAACTTATATTGTGTAGATATTGAATGAATTACTTTTTGCTCTAATCAATTTCATTTTCTTGCATACTAATAAATTTGGTAACAAATTGCACTTTCTTGAGCTTGCACTGGTGCTTTTTCTAACTAAGGCCTATTTTTAACTTTTTCTAACTAACAGAAGACAAATACTGGAAAAATTATTACAAAAAAAACTTGACTTACCATTTTCCTGGACATCAGCATTTGCTTCTTCTGCTTGGAAAGCTGAAAGTATATAAAATTTTAAAAACAAGTTAAATATACTATGTAATCAGAAGTATCAGGGCACTTTGACCAGCAAATAAGAAATTAATATCAGCAAGATCAGGGTACTTTATGATTATCTGCAGCTTCACCAAAAAATAGCAAAAAGTACTTTATGAGGAAAAGCAGTATGTCGTTAGAATAATTATGTAGCAACCTCCAATGATACCAATGGGTAAGCATTTTATTTCCATTTTTTTTTTTTTTTTTAATTTTATTCATTAACTGCTCCCATATGAAATTCTTAGTGTAATGATACGAAAAGGCTATCACCTTTCATATACTAGCTTGACAAAAAAACTACCCTCTAACAAGTTTGCAGATGCTCTTCAAAGTTGCTAATAAGTTTATGACTTTTAAAATACTTAATGTCGCTGAATGCTCAAATCACCAAAGACATCAAGCTTTTCCATCATAAGTGATGCATGTCTGATACTGGTTGTGATAATGTTCAGTTTATATACAGCCATGAAAACCTAAAATATGATACTCATATCATTGAATTAACATTAATTTTTTACTCAATCATAAAATCTTCTTATACAACTGTCATACACACTCTCCAGACTATTTAAAAAGACAGAATAATTATAATTTGTGAATTTTCTATTTTATTATGAACATCAGGTACAGAAGAATAAGTTCTAACATTACATTAAAACAGAAATCACCATTACCATCATCAAAGTAATTCAGCTGACTCCTTTTTCACTTTGTAACAGTTTACCAACCGTTACAAAGCCGGTTATGCAAATCTGCTGACAAAAGCTGGTTATGCTTCATTAAAAGCCAAATGAATACAGCACCAACTCACAGAAACCGACAAAAATATTTCAAATATTTTATTAATTAGCAATGCTCACTAATTCATAAATAGACTTTTAACATAGTGTACATTTTAAAATACATTAATAAAAAAATAATTACTGCTTTAATCTAACAGAAGTAATGCACATACAGAACAGAAGATACAAATGCCCTTCATCACAAACAAATTACCTAAAGAAAAAATGCCTTAGGTGATAAGTGGTATCTGCAATTATGAACACTCATTCAAAGATATTCCGAGATAACCTATGCCACAGCAACAAAAAGGGATTGTGAAGGAAATGCCTTCAGAGCAAGTATGAAAGAATAGCAATTAATTACCAGTTTTAGCACCACAACACAAATTAATTGCTATTGTAACTGTAAGACATCACTCAGTTTTAAGAATACCTATAACCACAGTTTTAAGAACCAAGCTTTTTTTTCCCTAGAGTTTATAGTTTGATCATGGATCTACTAAATAATGAAGGTGATGATATCAGTTTTTTACAAAAGTATAATATATTGCAGAGTAACTATCAGTGTTCCAATTTGCACATTCCAGAGTATGGGGTTCTACAAAATGACAGATAAAGAAACATAGGACTATACAAAGACACCATTTGAAGTTGTACCTAGCGGAGTTCATGTGGCAGTAAAAAAAAACTGTAGTTTAGGGTTAAAAAGGCCCTTCGAAGCTATTTTAGAAGCAACTGCCAAACTTTCCCATTAAAAATAAAGAAAAACTAATTATATCAAATTATTGCAAAAGTCAGCCAATCCTTCTCTATCAACACGCAAGTACCAAAATGATAATCCTAGTTCTTCGACTCATGGAGTTTGCACAAAATGGGATAAGATGCTAGGTTTTTCATAAAAACCACTCTTATAAAAGCAGTAGAAAGCTACAACACTACAATAATGTTATGCTTATTAAGTTAAGTCTCCAGTAGTCAGGCGGTGCTAGGAGACAAAGTATTGATAAAAGATGTCCCCTCCAAAAACAGTTACTTGATGTTTCTATGGAAGGTAAGTCTCTACTCAAACAATCTGATGTCTTTTCTCTTCCTTACCACTTTCCACATCTGTTGTTTGCTCTCTTTCCATAAAGACACATTTGTTTTGTAACAACAAAACAAATGTGTCTTTATGGAACAACAGTTTTGTTCATTTTACATTAATTCTGACGTGGAAAATAATTTTACAAATGGCTTTCAGAAACGTACCTAAAAATGTTCCTGAACCAACATTTCATTGTATATTCAGTTTCGTTTATTTATATGACTGTATCTTGGCAAAAACGTATACAGTACAAAGCCCGAGATTCGGACTCGAAGGGACTTCAGCGATTCCAGATTTGGGATTTTTCCGGATATTGGATTATCAGTTTAAATCTAGTAAGATGGCATGTAGAAATCACAAAATTAAAAATATAAAATAATGAAGTATTTATGATCTAAATGGAATCAAAATTTACAAACACACAAAAAAAAATAAGCTTAATATTTATTTTTTACCTTATTAAACATTTCTTTCAAGCTTAATATTTATTTTTTACCTTATTAAACATTTCTTTCAATGTAAGTTTTTTAAGTTGCTTCATTTTCTGTGCTGATACTTTCTCTTTAATTCTGTAGACAGACATAATCTCTTGTTTAGTTACATTGTTGAAATCCTGTAACTGCAGTTTCCAGAATTCTGACTAATTTGTCAATCGAATTTTCTCGTTTTTAGTAACTTCTCTGTCAGTAGCGGTATTTTCTGGATCTAGAACCATACTACAGATTTCACCATTCATTAACATGATTGATGATTGAGAAGCATTGTCATCACAATGAAAAACTTCTTTTATGTCATCTTCATTTATTACCGCTTCTCCACCATTTCTTTACAAAATCCATTAATTGGAAAATTTCACCTTTGTGTTGCGATATCCGAAAATCTTTAAAATTAGCGGCTATCATCATCAAATTTAGCTATCCTTCACTATACATATTTGGCTATGCATCATGACCTTGGTGACTAACGACAAGTTGTTCAGTTAAATTTTATCTTGCTTCTATCGCGCACTGACAAAATGAAGCCTGAATTGTATTAGTTATTTATTACACTTATGTCTATTTCTTGCACATGCTTAAGGCTTATCAGAGTTCTGAAGAAATAAGTTCCCACATATACTTAAGCCTCATTGAGTGCCGGTGCTAGATATCTTACCGCCTGATGCAGTCTCTGTGGGGCCTAAATTCTGCGCCTCGGTGTGGCCATACAAGCCCTGGTGCTGGTTCTGGGCTTATATGAATAACAAATCAGTTATTCTTAATTCAAATAGCCCGAAACGTAATCATTGGGTCTATCTTTTCACTCGAAAAAAATTTTAGTAATATCCAATGCAAAAGTCCCTCAGGTTTTCTTTTTCAGTGAGGATAAATAAGTAACATTGATAAAAGTACATTATAGGGTACCCCTTGGAGAAACTTGGCGGTACATGGATACCAGATACGCGCAAGCCTTTGACTTGTTATTTTGGCTTGCGCCAAAAAAACGCTACACAAAGCCAAAATAACAAGACAAAGAATTGCACAAACTCAGTATCCATGTACACATCAACCTATTTTCACTTAAAAAAAATACCCAGAATTGCACAAGAATGGCATTGTGCACTCCCTTGACCTTTATCCATGTACATATCGAACCTATTTTCACTCAAAAAAAAAAAAAAAAAAACCCTGAATTGCACAAACTAGGCTTTGCGCACTCCCTTGAGTTTGTCTATGAACACATCGATACATATTTTCACTTAAAGGGTTAAAGGAGTACCCAATTCTACAGTAGAGGCAAACAAAAAATACATAATCTCAATAAACTACATTTTAAACCAAACAATAAAATAACATAAAAAGGAAAAAATCTGTTATGCATTTAATCATTACACAAAGTAAATATCCCCTCGCTGCTGTGGCATACAAAATTCCTTAACAACATCCAAAAACTTCTTAAAATTATCTGAACTAGGATCCGTATATCGGTGGCGTCACATAAATTCACAAAAATAAGAGTAAAAAATATCCTACGTATTCCGGACTGTCCGGAAAATGGCTACTAAGTAAACCTTCATTTACACACCAGTCAATTAATGCACTTTTCCGCTTTTGTTCCAAATCGTACAGAAACTTCAAATAAATCTTACTACATTCAGCCATTCTACCGTCTAAACTCTACACAATGGAACAAGCAACGTACTTCCTAACCACACACACCACAAAAGCCCTTACAAAACTTCCCATGATTCAAAATTTCCCAGAATAAAGCAAATGATTAAGTTATAATAGGTTTCCATAACATTCAACTACTCAGGTTACCATAAATGAAACAACTTGGTGATAAATGAAACAACTTGGCGATAATACAAGGGGTACCCTAAAGTCAACTCTTACCGTAACATTTAATTAGATGTGACTGAGCTACAACTAATTGCAAAAGTAGACAAAGACTCCAATAGAAGACTATATTAGAATCTTGATACACAAAAATGTTTGAACGAAAAGCGTTTATAATCTGCACACTAACTTTTTGTACAGTGTTTATTTTAAATAAATACAGCACACAGGATTTGGCAATGCTGCTCATATATGAACATATTGCATATATTAGAATCTTGATACACAAAAATGTTTGAACAAAAAGCATTTATAATCTGCACACTAACTTTTTGTACAGTGTTTATTTTAAATAAATACAGCAAACAGGATTTGGCAATGCTGCTCATATATGAACATATTGCATAGGCAGTAAGCATGCTTCGTTGTTTCGTCTTTCTGAGATATACATCCTCCGTATGTCTTTCAACTCGAATTTTAACTTGCTTTTCTTTGCATGGAAATAAATTAAGATTAATTCAATTTTTTTTTTAATTCCAATAAGAAAGATATTAAATCAAAGCCTTTTCAATTTCAGGTTTCTGAATGAGGTCTGTTACGTGCTTCACAAAGAACTGCTTTTTAAATTCTGAAGGTAAAAAATTATTAAAAGTATCTCTACACTTCCTGGAAACTGTTTCGCAAAGCTATACTTTCTAGTTTTTAAAGAAGAAATTGGTACTGTCACAATAGGGTAAAGTGACCACACGTCCCGATTTTGGCGGGACAGTCCCGCTT